GGTTGGCACACATTTGTTGTGCTTGGCAGCAGCGGCTTCAGGAAACCATACAACTCTTCGTCGACAGTGCGCCGTGACGTGAGCAGTGAGGTTTTCGACCAGCATGACTGATGGGCCAACCAGCTCATACTTCGACAGCTCTCAATAACTCTTGCCCATCCATGCTGTTTCTTGAACCGCGAATACGTGCCCAGTAGGATACGTTGCTTCGGTCCATTGGGTTGGCCACGTAGAATTAACAGAATTGTCAGCTTCGTTCCCACGTAACATGTCAGCCGCATGCAGCACCGCACCATAATACCATCGGAGCAGATGCACGCAAGAACGGCTCTGAGGCGGTCGGCTAGCTTCTCGGTCGAATATACTTTCGCGTCCTCGCCAATTTCCACCACGTACATTGAGGTGTCATAGTACTTTGCCGTTTCGTAAACATTGACAATGTTTCGACGTGCTTCGCCCAGAAGGTCGCTGTAAAGACACTCATCTGCACGTCCGTCCATAGCTTGGAATAACACAGACCTAACAATCCATCGTACCCGGTTCCACTGGCGGATATGCGTTGGAGGTACGTCTCCACCCACGATTGCTGATGGCCATATGAGCAGTGGTCAAGAGGTGGCTGTCGGCTCGTTCGGCCTTCATGAAGGCCAACAAGTCGTTGGCGAATTGCATGGCGACAGGTGTCGCTTGACCACCAAGCGGCAAGCACCGTTTGTTGTGTTCAGTGATGAGGTACGTGTCCTACTTATTCAACCATGTCAACCAAGTTGAGCGTGGAATACCTTCTATTGCAGAATTAGACTTATCTGAGAGATTTGTATTCCCACAAGCAGTGAGTAGACTGATGCGCATGTCGTGCTTGTACCGCCTTTGGACTCGCTGGGAAGAAGCGGCACAGGCATTACAGGAATTCCAAATTTCGAACTTTTGGGTTTTTCCAAGGCGGACCAATCACAGACCTTAATTTGAATTCAAGTCTCTTAACGTTATCCAATCAAGTTATTGTGTGCTTTTTTGCATATGTCATGTGAATTGCATATTTTTATTGGAGTGCTGTGTCGAGTTCTTTCCCAGTTCACTGTAATAACCCCACGAGATTAATTGCCTGCATAGTTTAATCAAAGCAAAAATCACTGTCAAGATAATTTTGCGTAGTTTAATCACGATGAAAATAGAGGTCAATGTAATCCAGCATACTGTATTCAATATCATATATTTGGTTAACTGTCCAGCGCTGATTCACAGTTCGAATGCTGTAGAGGGACAATTCAACGGTGTGAATTATCTGAACCAAACGCGAATGTCTATCATAGATAAACTCTGGCACGTACAACCTACTATTAGTAAACCGTCTAGTTTAATACGAGTCGGACGCTTGCATCAGTCGGACATCTCCAGAAGATAACATTGTCGACACCCTGCTTGGAATAGAATCAGAGTCACTCTCTGGCGTCACTCTCTGGCGCGAGAATAACCTGTGGTATCCAATATAAACTCCAACCATTTAGATAGTATTCATCGGAGGTTTAAAGCGCGCCAATGCGTCGATCGTCAGGCATGCTGGCATCTTGTATTCAAACCGCCATAGAGAACTCCGAATCGAGTAATCGACAATAGTGAGTATATCAGCAAACCTTCGCTAAAATGTGAGCGCACTTAACAAAGATTATCGCACTTTTCAAATATTACCTTGTAAATCCAATCTTTGGACAAAACCACAAATTGTTGAAGCAAGATTGATTGCCACATAATCTCTCAGTTATTCCATATCAAGTATTCACTTTCAATTAAACAGCGCCACCATGAGCCTTGCTCTTGGAATGGAATTTCACTCAGACAAAGCCTTCGTGGACTACGTTAAAGACTACTACCGTAGTATGCTCTAAGCGAGAACAAGCATGTTCGAGTGAAGTCTCATGGTGGGAACAATAGAACGGTATATTGGTCATCCATCCGGGAGCAATTCCCCGAGTGCGTGGGTGGCACATTCCAACCCTGCTTTGTAATCAGTATGGACCAACTTCCTTCGAAGATCTGCGCACAGTTCACGGAACTCTGTATCCAACGTACGAAGAAGCTGCACTGTCCATGGGCCTGTTGGAAAACGATGAAGAGTATGTGGTATGTATTCGACAAGTTAGGTTGGACTGCATTACAGCTGCACGAACTATTTGTCAACGTCTTGGTGCATTACCTGCCAGCGAACACGCGAGCTCTGTTTGACCAATTCAAAACAGATTTCATGGACAAACGGCTTTGGGACCTGCACCGCTGCAACGAAGCACTTCCAGGGCCGCTCAGTAAAGACATGATGCTTGGCAAGCGATGTTCTATACACTCAAGAGCATCGACAACTGCTTCCAACACCATCGGATGAGCCTTTTGGACTACCCGTCGTTACCTCAACTCCACGAATTCGACGTATTCCGAGACTTGGGCGAACGTCAACTAATAAAAGATCCAAGAAGTGGGCTTTATGTAATTGAAACGTCGTACACGCGTGCAGTCCTCGACGACGTGTTGGCCACTGCTGCGACCATGACTGACGAGCACAGGTCCTTGGTGGCCACCGTTTTGGCTCAAATATTCGAGCACGCATCAGGCGAAGGAGGCTCTGGAAAGTCGTACGTCTCTCAAGTCGTGTCGGCAAAACTGCGTGACAAAGGGGACATCGCGCTTGCTGTGGTATCGTCTAGGCTGGGCGCTTTGCTGCTTATGGGCGGCACAACGGCACATTCGCGATTCAAAATCCCCGTCACCAACCTCAACGACAAGTTCCTATGCCACATTCCGAAGCAGTCGTCATTGGACCAAGATCATTCGAGACACCAAGCTCATTTGTATGGGACAAGGTCTCAATGATCCACAAGCATGCCTTGGAGGCCGTCGACTGTTCCTTTCTCGACATCATGGACAACCCCACAGCTCTGTTTGGCGGCAAGGTTGCTGTTTTCTCGGGCGATTTCAAGCAAATCCTGTCAATCATACCACGCGGCACACCATCGGCCACTGTGGAGGCCTTTTTCAGACGCAGCAGCATCTGGAACCACGTGAAAAATGTCAAGCTGACAAAGAACATGCAACTGCGTGGTGGATCAGACGACGCAATTATCGAGGAATGGGCCAAGTCGTTGGTTAGCATTGTGAACGAAACGTGTCCAGAACAAGACATCTACGGCGATCCGCCTGCCGGATGCAATTGCCAGGAACTGGGAAACCGACCAAGACCTGACCGTGTTCATCGACCAAATCTATGGCGACATCAATAACCCGGGCAAGTGGAAGCGCTTCAACTCAAGACGTCCCTGTGAATGACTTTGGATCCCGTGAGCTTACCATTTGTTGATTATTCCAATCGTGCACTAATATTCGTTCAATTTCACCCAATAGAATTTGCCAAAAAAATGGAATTTGCGTTAGTTTTGGTGGCGCCTTTCTCAGTGTTTCTGGCAACCTCACTTTCATGGCAATTAAAATGCACACTTTATCCGGACACAATTTGCGATGTGCAAGCCATGTGTGTTGGTTTTGGGAGTCCTCCACTAGCGATGCAGTTAGCCCCGGAGATTTAGCATCGAATGTACTCACCGGAGGTAGGACGAAGTCACAGGTTTCAGGTCTACAGGCAAAAAGGTGTATCCGGATGTAATAATTCCCTCATTGAAACAGTATTTCGGGTCAAAACAACATTGGGGTTGAGTGACATGTCTTGTGAGCATTTTTTATACCTTTCGAGGTCAATAAGTGGGCAAGTTGACCCTCCATACAGCTTGAAATTCGCAGCTTCGTCCTTTTCAACATGAAGTCTAGTCAGTATCGATCGCTATGTACGATTGGATTACTTGAGAGTAGGACCCAATTTGTTGTTATGTCGTTGTCGTCATTGTTCCATGCTTCAATGAGCCGAGTCACCATAACCGTACGAGCATGTTATGCGGATTATTTGCTGCTTTCGTGCAAAAAAGCTACTACGCAGTACGTACTCAGTACGTAGCAATACCTTTCGAGGGAGTGAAGAGACTGAACGAGCAGACGGATGGCAGAGAAGAAAGAAGCAGTGGCGCAGGTGCTCCGGAGTTGTGAATCAACGGAACAGATCACAGGTGTAGGAGGCGGTAAAACCAAAAGTGAAATTAGACGTGGGAAAGCCGGCTTAACTACTGGTCTATACTCCAGAATATTTGGGGACATGATGAGATGTGATTGGCTAGATGTACTGTACAACGTGGTGGGTTGTGATGGGCCAGATCTTGAGGGGTCACCGACCGTTTTATGAGTGTTCTATGCGTCCATGATGGGTAGGAGACTGAGATGGATAGACTAGAGCAGACGTGAGTGAAAGATAGGAGACACATGGTTGGCAGAATGCAACTTGACAGAGGGAATAGGCCTCAAATTACAGTGTTTTCTGAGAATGAAGTATGGGACTATTTTAATGAGGTAATTAATTGTATGTTAATAGGGTGATTTTGCAAATGTCAATCAATATCCAAGTAAAATATTCCGGTAACTTTCACAAGGAGAAGGTGCTTTTTCAATTGGGAATTTTGGAAGTTTGTACATAGTCATGGGCTCAAAGGCAAGGTCGTCGGCCTTCAGGGGTCCAAGCCATATACAACTTCTGTTCTTTACAGTTAATCGGTCCTTTCTACTCTGTCGATCTTCATGCACGAGAGGAATGCATACAATGAAACCATGACATCCACAAGAGTCGTCATGCAGAAGGATTCACTAGAATTAGGTAGTATCTAAAGTAGAAATCCGTCTTATAAATAAGTGGTCGCATGTCATCACATACTATAAGGCGAATTTCATGTGGACGCATCATTCTTTCAAGCGCTGGTTTGTTTTATGATGTCATTTCTACGTTGCCTACAAGTACAGAGAACTTTCGCGACGTAACGTCTCCGTGCTACACTGTACTGGAAGTTGAAAACCACGAACCATAGGTAGTACCATTGACACAATACAATTTGACTTTGAAGTCTAGCTTTTGGCTCCTAATCGCCACACGACGGCTTGTTGGGGGTGATCTCTCCACCGTTGAATACGGTGGTCTCTTTGGCGAATTGGTTGATGCCTTTGTACACTTCGAGGCCACGCGTCTGGATGGTCGACGCTTCCGCGATCAAGTAATCGCCGACAATTTCAATATTCAGGGTGGGCTTTTTGAACTCACGTAATCTGGGAACACCCCATACGAAGAGTACTGTGTTGTTTCCCATGCCAGTGCCAACACAAACAACAAAATGGGGGAGTGCCGACTCCCTGCAAACCACACACTTGATTGACTTGAGGTTAGCATGACGTTGCAGAACCAAAAGTGAGATTCTGGCAGTTGGCTGGGACAGGTGTTCTGTTTTCTACGTCCTAGTACTCCTAGTAATACTACGCCTTTTCGTGTCGGTTCGCCAAGGGTCGGCACCCGGTGGCCTCGGTTGAGGACCACCTGTGTCATGGCGGGACTTGGGTTAAGTCGCCCACCACAACACACACCCCAAGCCATGTCCCTCAGGACACACTTGGGCCTCGCTAATTCTTCGCCTTAGCTCGCTTCATCGCCTTGCGCAATGCATCGCCTTCGTTCGCTGTCTTCACGCCTTCAACATAGTTCTTCACCGCGGCTGGGCATTTATGCATGAGCTTCTGCAGCGGTTCCCATGAGGACTCGATATCTTCAAAACCTTCCCAAATCACTTACAGCATGAAGTCTTTCACATCCGGGACAAACTTGTGTCCCGCGATGGGCTTGACCTTCAGCATGATCCCTTGCTCGGAAACGTGTTCGAGGATTTCTTTGGTCACTTCAAAGCTGTCTTCGGCGTAGAGCTTGACTCTTGATGCGTGCGCTTCCCGCAGTTCGTGGGTCACCAAGTGCTCCAAAACGACGGAAAATTCGCCCACTTCCTTGACTCGGTAGGGGCCCGTCCAGGTTACGAGCAACTTGGGGTGATAACGTGTTCGTCGACACGGGACCAGAGCACATATTCGCCTTCGCTGACGTTGCATTGTTCATATTTCCCGGTCGCTTTCGTCGCTTTCACCGCGCGCATCGCATTCTTGTCTAGGACTTCTTTGTGCATTATATGCAGGTTAGCACGCAGCTTGTCCAGGTTTTTGGGGATGTCCTCGACCGTCCAGTGCTCTCTCGGAGTTCCTTGTTCATGCCCACCACGACGACATCCAGGGGAGTCGCCGGGTTCAAAGCCGTGAACAACTCCATCGGCGACTTGCTCGCCAGTGATGCTGCCGGTGTTTGGTTGAGGTTGGCTTGGACCACTGGCAATAGGTAGTCCCATTCCTGTTCGGCTAGCTGGTATTCTCGTAGCATGACCCGCATCACTTGAAGGATGTCGCGGTTCATTGGCTCAACCGTTCCATTGCGCCAGGGGCAGTAGGCCAAGGTTAGGTCATGATGGACCTTGAACTTGTGGGCTAGCGCCTTTATGACCACGTTTTTGAAATGGGTTCCTTGGTCCCTGACCCAGACTCATGGCATTCCGAATCGCTTCGTCCAGTCCACCAGGGTATCCACACATACTTGGCTCGTGGGTCCGTCGCATGCAATGAGTTCGCAGTAGTGGGTAAGGTCGTCTTTGAGTACCAGCACATACTTAGCGCCGCTGAACGCTTCGCCCATGTAGAGGTAGTCGAAGTGGATTCCTTCGTTGCGCTCTTTCGCGTGCCATCTCGGAGCATACGGTCGATGGACCACCCTTCCCCCTTTTACATGAGGGCACAACAAGCAGCCACGGAGGAATTCACTGGCCCTGTCGGCCAAGTGGTCGACATAGAACAGGCGGCGGATAGTAGCCACCAGCGCTGCATGTCCTCGGTGCCCGGTGCTGCCGCAGTGGGCAACGACCATGATCCGTTGGATCAGGTCATTCGCCGCACTCGGTATCCATAGCCGCTCGTCCACTTGCCACAGTCCTTCCACCACAGTAGCTCGCTTTGGTTTGGTTGCGCCATGCTGGTCTTGTGCGTGACGGATGTCCACCACACATGGCCACACAAAGTCCTTGTCCATCGGCCGCAGTTTTGGTTGTGCCGGTGGGGGAACTTGCGTGTTTTGACTTTCTTTGACCAGCCATGGCCCCGACGTATTTTGACCCGCCTGGTCGCCAGACTTGGTGTCGGCTGACCCCAACGACTCATCATATCCACCCATAGATTGTGGATGCCGTCGATGTGTATAATTTCATAACGATAGCCGCCAATAATGGCAGCCCATCGCATAAGTTTGCCGCGTGTGTGCGCCTTCCATTCTTCGTCCGGGGCAAAGACATGGAAGAGGTTCTTGTGGTCACAGTACATCTTGAACCCCGTCGGCCGCATAAGCATATAATTGAGCTTCTCGCACGCACGCGCAATAGGGTAGGCCTCCTTTTCGATGAATTACCACGCCTTTTGGGCGCCCGCAAACATCCCCGACTGACATAAGAGCAGTTCATGACGTTGTTCTTGGGCTGTCATCATCGAATGCCACCACTTGAGTTACCACAACGACCATCCATGATCGCTCGCATCCGTAAACAGACACATCGTGGCGTCATCACGCAGGTGAGACAGTTCCACCGATGATCGTAGCTTGGACTTCACGGCGTCAAACGCTACCTTCTCGCCATCGGTTAGTCCACCTGAACACCAGACGCGATCCACTTCTTCTTGCCCCTGCCTTCGAGGGCCTTCGTCAGACACTGCTGCAGTGGGACGACGGTCTGTGCGTACTCTGTCATCGAGTCCCGCAGCCAGTTCACAGCGCACACAAACTGCTGCAATTCTCCTTCATTCGTAGGGTAGGGGATCGCACACAGATGTTCTATGCGTTCAGGGTCTTGCTTGACGCCATCACCACTCATGATGCGTCCGCACCACTTGACTTGGTCCGTGAACAGCTTGGTCTTGGATGGACTCAGCTTGAACCCGTACTGGGCCACTCGATCGAAGAACGACTCAATGGCATCCACGTACGCTTCCACTGTGTCGGCGTGCACAAAGATGTCGTCAATCCAGATCAGCATGTTCTTGTAGAGCAGGTCTTTGTAGCACTCCTCGTTCGTTATTTGCACGTAGAGGGCACTGTCCACATGGCCTTGCATCACTCGGTCTGGGGTGTACACACATCCGTTCAGCATGAACGACAACATGTCCCAGCTGTCCGGGTGCAGTGGGAACTGCCAAAAGCACTTGAAAAGGTCAAACACTCCCATCGCTTTCTTGACTCGTAGGTTCTGGAGGATGGTAACCTGGAACGGCATCGTCCCTGCCTTCGGCTCGGTTAGCGAGTTCACAACTCGGTAGTAGTTGGTTAGCCGATAGTTCTTGAGCACGTCATCGTCGCTCCATTTGTCGGCCGACTTCAATGACTTGCGCCCATCTGGTTTGAGGACTGGGTTCACCGGGCTGCACCATGCACTTTGCTGGTTGTTCTTGATCACGCCCGCATCGAGCAGTTCTTGTGCAAACAACTTGAGGAACCTCTCCTCCAGGAGGTTGTGCTTCCTTCCTTTGCATCGGTAAGGAACACACCCATCCTTCGGGGTCACCTTCAACGGCTTCACCTTCGCCGGTGGGTCTGACCCGTCGAACTTGATTCGCCAGATGTCATGCTTGCTGAGCACATCCCACAAGTACTTAA